TGTTTGGGGTCCATCGAGTACCGTGTCTACTTTTGAGTCTAGGTATTTTGTAACATTTATTGATGATTTTTCACGTTGCACGTGACTATTTTTAATGAAAAATAGATCTGAATTGTTTTCTATTTTTGAACAATTTTATCGAGAAATAAGAACCCAATTTGGTTTGTCCATTCGTACCTTAAAAAGTGACAATACACGTGAATATTTATCCCAACAATTTCAAACTTTTATGTCATCCAATGGTATTTTACAGCAAACATCTTGCCCTCATACACCTCAACAAAACGGGGTAGCCGAACGCAAAAACCGGTATCTTGTAGAAACCACTCAGACTCTACTTCTCCATGGTAATGTCCCTCTCAGATTTTGAGGGGATGTTATGCTCACGGCGTGTTATCTCATAAATCGCATGCCCTCATCTGTCTTTAATAATAAAATCCCTCATTCAATCTTGTTTTCAAGCTCTCCTCTTCACCCAATTCCTCCTCGAGTCTTCGGGTCTACATATTTTGCGCATAATCTCTCCCCTAGTCTTGATAAACTATTAGCTCGATCACTAAAGTGTGTCTTTCTTGGTTATCATCGATCCCAAAAGGGTTATCGTTGCTACTCACACTCTGCAACGATACCTAATATCGGCCGATGTTACCTCCTTCGAGTCTGTGTCATATTTTGCGTCCATCCAAGTCACTCCGGAACTCCTTCACGAAAGTACTCCCACACCTCTTCCGGAAGTCCCATTTTCCATTATTCCCCATCATTCTAGAGAACCTGTCTCACGAGAAACCCCTACGATTGATCCCCCCACTTCTCGCCCACTTCAAACATATCAGCGTCGTAAACCAACGTCTGTCATACCTGTCCCTGAGGTTGTACATGTCCCTGAGGTCGTACCTGTCCCTGAGGTCGTACCTGTCTCTGAGGTCATTGCAGACTCTCCTCCGACGCTATCGCCATCACTGGATTCGATCCCGCAACCTGAGTCTGATCTTCCGATTGCCCTTCGTAAAGGTATACGTCAAACACGAAATCCTTCTCCACATTATATTGATTTATGTTATCGTCTTTCCCCTTTGCAGAATACTTACTTGTCCTCTTTGTCTTCTGTTTCTATTCCTAAATCTCCAGGTGAAGCATTATCTCACCCTGAGTGGAGGCAAGCAATGATTGATGAGATGTGTGCTCTTCAAAGCAGTGGTACCTAGGAACTGGTTCCTCTACCCACTGGAAAATCTTTAGTAGGTTGTCGTTGGCTTTATATAGTGAAGGTTGGTCCAGATGGTAAGATTGATCGTTTTAAAGCTCGCTTGGTAGCCAAGGGATACACTCAAATTTTTGGGTTGGATTATAGTGATACCTTTTCGCCTGTAGCCAAGATGGCATCTGTTAGACTTCTTCTAGTCATTGCAGTCATTCGACATTGGCCTCTTCATCAACTTGACATCAAAAATGCATTTTTACATGGTGATCTTGAAGAGGAAGTATATATGGAGCAACCATCTAGGTTTGTTGCTCAGGGGGAGTCATCGAATATAAGCTACACAAGTCTCTTTATGGTCTTAAGCAATCTCCGAGAGCTTGATTTGGCAAAGCACTGTAGTACAACAATTTGGTATGATCCGTAGTGAAGCTGACCATTCTGTCTTTTATCGTCACAAGCTCTGTTAACTCTAAAGATCAATTGGCAGATGTGTTTACAAAATCTTTGCGAAGCCCCAAAATTAATTATATATGCGGCAAACTTGGTGCATTTGACTTATATGCTCCAGCTTGAGGGGGAGTGTTGATATTTGTAAATATATAATGTTAAGAATATTTGTATGTAGAATAGTCCCACATCGATTATATCATGTAATTAGTTGTAATTTCTCTATATATAATAATGTCTCTGTAGTGCTTTCAAAACACACGATTTAACCTGAATGTCTCTTAGTCTATTTTAATTCAATAGAAACTGTTAACTCAACAGACTAGTGGCATTTGGATATATTTGTTGAATATGCTGAAGAACTATTTGTTTTTAATAATGTTTCTCTTTGTAATTAGTTTAAGGATGAAATCAATTTCTGAGTATGTATGAAACTCTCTTCCACTGAAACAAGTACTTCTGCATGTTATTATAATAAATTCTAAACAAGCTCTATGGAATTCCCCCTAAGAGTATTACTATTCCACATTTCAATGTAGCTCAAAAAACATGAATTCAAATACATATTAAAAATACTAAAAGTGAGCGTTTTGTCAAATGTCCTGTTTTCCACTTGATGCTGATGAATCTTCAGCGAACTGTTAGATCCACACTGATATATAAATATTTACGATAATAATTCAATTCTTCCAAATAGAGTTAGAAGTCGAAGGAAACAAGGAAATACAACAATGAGACAACAAAGAGGAAATAACTGACGGTAACCGACACCTGAATGTTGATGCTTGCTGCTGTCAGTCCTCCCGTGACCGGTTGGGATGACGGCGACGCCAGTAGTGAAACTTTCTTGTTTCTTATACTTATTTTACTAAGTAACTGTTGCCGAGGCCTAATACTAGCACAAACTTACAAATCTTTTTAGTTTGAAAATCCGTCTTTGGTGATACAGGAATGGCTTGTTCTTCTCAATGTTCGAATAGAAATTATGCAATTGTTAATTTACGTGTTGCATTTCTATTTCTAATGAATGTAGGGCCAACTGATGCAAGTGAGCATGATGGCTACACCAGAGATCAACAAAGAGCTGCATTACCTAAACAAGGAAGACAAACTACTGCGTTGGCTTCTGGTTAAGCAGCGTGACACAAAGTTTGGGCTTGAATTCATGGGAGATGAAGATAGATTAGAACCAAGCAGATTCTCTCAAATAAATAAACCAGATGACGACGATGAGGAGGATGAAGACAATGAAGAATATGAAGTGAATGAAGAAGAAAACAGAGTTAACTAAAAGGTGGTTGTATTTTGTTTGTTTCCATTAGGAGAAAGATAAAACCGTCTAAAAGGTTGTATTTTGTTTGTTTCCATTAGGAGAAGGATAAAATCGTCGGGGGGGCATTGTAGGTGCCAAACATATGCTTATTAACAAGTGCTACATAACACCTAGACATGATCAATGGCTTTGAAAATTTTGATTAGTAAACAGCATGTTGTCTCTTGATTTTAGACAATAATTTTTTGTAACTTGGTGAAGGTGAAATAATTTATTTACAAACGTGCTGTCGAATAATTGTGCTGTGTCAATGTCGAAAATCCCAGGATTTTTAATTTGATTTTTCCGATAAACGGTTTAACAATATATTTTGGCTCAGAGTCCACCACTTATATTTTTGGTCTTCCTTTTCAAATTTTGGATTTTTGGTTTCTCCATCTTCACATTGTTGTAATTTTTGTTTAGCTTCAAATTTGTGATTTTTGAGTTTAAAAGTGATTGTTTATGCAATTTTCTATTCAAAGTCCAATATTTGATCCAAAACCTACACCTCAGGTGTCAAAATATAGATTGAGTCCAAAATTTTAATATGTAAAACTAATTTTAATATGTAAAACTGGGAAGGCAAAATTTTAATATGTTCAACTGGGAAAGCAAAAATAATTATCTTTGATAAAATGAGGATCAAAATGCGTTTAAACTTATATGTTTTTTCAATTTATGAATGAAATAAAATAAAGAGCCGTGCTATTTAAAAATAACAAAAATCCGGTACCTATTTCCAGAGACACGGTTATGCATATGTACTCCATAACTAACTTGATCAATTGTGTTTTCTGTATTTTTCTAAAAATTCAGCCACTTCATAAGTTTTACGTTTCACCGCCAAATTTTTGTTCTATAACACTCTGAGTTTCATCCAAATGCTTGTCTTGAGTGAGAGTCTCCCGAGTTTCACTTACCAACATCTGTGCATTTCATCGGTATTTTTGTCTTGAGTCATAGTCTCCCGAGTTTCACTTACTCCAACTTCATAACTTTATCTATACTTTTATTAATCAAATTCATCACATTAATCAATTTCTTATATTTCATTAATTAACTTTATTTTACACTTAAAAAAACGTGAGTGTCACTTTCATGTACTCGTCACTGTTTATAAATATATATCTTTTTATTTTAAAAAAAAATATTATTCATCGTATAAATACAGTTAACCGTACATATGATGTAAGTATTTAATGTAGAAAATGAGTGTAAGCATGACGTTTGCTGTAAAATATTCTCTCCAAAATGAATGTAATCTAAAATTAGATTATATTACATCAACTTTTCAATTATCCTTTTTCTTATATTTCATTTCAAAGAAAATTAAAATGATTTTAAAAAACTGAATATATTTGTGTCACAGAAAAAATAGTACAGTATATGTATACGCTCAGCTGAGCCCGACTCACATATGCCTTTGTCATTCTAGTTTTGAAAACAAACAAACCATATATTTTAATGGCACAATGATCATTATTTGCATTTACAAACAAACTTAAAGTAAATAGTTTCCAAAATTAACAAGTACAATGCACTGGGATAATGGAGTAACCATCGGATTCGGCATTAACCAATATCTTCCCAAACTATACCAGGGTGCTATTTTCTTCAATGAAAACTTAGATAGCATCTGAGAGCTTGTAACATCGTGGTCTAAATTTGCGGAAACAAGTACTGCCCATGGGTCTCTTTGGAATATGATGGCGAGGCCCACCAACAAACGTACTGAGTCTGAAAACAGACACGTAAAAGTGGTGCGAGCAAAAAGACTCCCAAATTCCTTGAATTAAAACTGAACTGCAAAAGATTACATGTAATTAGTTAGATCAACAGCGGCATTGAAATACTATCTGAAATCATGTCATACACATTAAGTATAAAGAGCATATCGTGCAAGAGTACGATGAATTTGTGAATGAGAAACAGGCCCTAATCTTGCTGAGCATGATTTATTAAAGTAGATGCAACAGAAGTTGGGCCAACTTCATTATATCATACAACGGAAAAAAAATACTGACCACATGAAGCAAATTAAGAAAGTTCAAATCCGGCATTTGAATTGATAGCATATAAAAGCTTTGTTCTCAAAGTTCCTGGACGTTTGTATGTTGGAAGCTGTAATCATTGAGATAATCATTGAGAGGAAGAGTATAAAAGTGTAAGCATTTCAAATGTATGACAAAGGATCTTCTAAAAAAACCAACACCTCTGTCTCAACAACTTAAATCACCAAGTGGGAGTGTTTGGTAAGTGAACAACCAAAAGTCGATATATTACAGAGTTTATCTATATGATATTTTTTATTATGAGATCATGAAAATTTCAAGATCCTCATGTTCAATACATCATTACACATAACTGACGTGAGAATCTTGCTTTCAAATGTCATAGTCAAATCGGTAATACCTTATTCATTCATAGATTTTCAAAAACACTTGTGAGTATAGGAGTATGTCGTGCTATATGTCTAAAAATTATATGGTTAAGGATATGTTCTCCTAGTACTTCGTTAGTACCTTAAGGGTGTTGTAGCAGGTTGAAGCTGATGGAAGCCGGTCTACATCTTGTCCTCCAAATGTTGCCCAAAGAGGGACATCACATGCAACCTAGGTGAACAAATAGACCCAAGCGATACTAATCAATGAAATCAAGACATTTTAGCATTCACTAAAAAATGCATTATTTTTGGGGTTTCTTTAATATCTATCCATTATGAAATCAATGATATTTCAAAGGGAAAAAAATGAGAGAAACAAGAAAGTAGAAATTCTAGAAAACTAAAGCTGGCTAAAAGAGCTACACACAATGGTCTATTATTTTCTTCCCTTTAATGGAATAACCATTTGGAAAGAATGTTGAAATAACCATTGAAAAAGAATACCCCACCCAAGAAGCATAATACAGTGCTTAAGGAGACCCTATTTGATGCGGGTGATGTTGAAAAACTAAGCCAGCTGACTGACAAATTCACAAAGAACCCCCTTCTGTGAAAGATAAAAATAATTTTTTCACTACAGGGAAGGTGATTGTTTCATGTAAAACATAATTAAACATTTCATCTTATTAGCTATTGTTTTGGAACCAAGGTGTTCCTTTCCAATACTTTCTCTCACATAATTGTTAGTCTCTCAAAAATAACTTTTTAAACATCTCTTTCAAGAACCATAAAGAAAAAGATTTTGTTGCATGCATAGAAAAAAGATTTCGTTGCATGCATAGAATGTGAAAACATGAATGCACCATGGCCCAAAAAAAACGAATACAACGGGATTGGTAATAAAGTAAATTGCCATTGGGTAGATAGCTCTTAGATTTCATAGCAAGCAGTTAAAAGACTAAGCATTTAATTAAATAATGCATAGTACATAAATGCCAATATAGGGTAACAAATTATTCCATATAACTTATAAGAAGAGTTTGAATGCTCTGCTTACTAAAGTTATTGTTATGCTAAACAGTCCACTCAAGTAACAAAAAAATCAAGCCATGCCTTATTTCATTACATAAACTAAGTAAATGGGACAACAAGAGGGGCTAGTATAAATTATCTTGAATAGCTGTTGAACATAAAAAATCAAGAACATACCTTGTGGATGGTAAAAGGTGGCTGCAAGTGTTTGAACCCTAGTAATGGAGCACGAGAGCAACTGGTGACAAATTTAAGAACCATACAGCGCTCTTTAGGTTCAAAGCCTTTAATCACCTGTACGCAATTGGCAGAAATAAGTCAATAACATGCATAAATTCTTCATTATAATTCACTAGATTGAAAATAATGGTTAACAGTCACATTCTAAAGAAAATATGTATGAGTTAGAGAGGGTGAGAAACTGCACTTCAACCAAATTCACCAAACTAGCATCAATTGAGAGAACATCAATTGAATGATTAACTTATTTGGAAGATTAACTAGGGGCTAAAACTAGCGGAACACTTGATGCTTGAGTTTGGAATATGATAAAAATAGGTTGTTCAAGCTTGAATCATTTATTTAAATTTGTCTAACTAAAAGTTTGAGCTTGACTTGTTAAAAAATGATCAAACTTGAGCTTAGCTTGTTTAGCTAATTACAATTTTTTTTATTTTTTTTGCATTTTTGAACATTTTCTTTATACTTTAAGTTTATCAATTTAGTATTTCAAAATATTTCTATAAACATATTCTTTATATCACAAATAAAATAACATTTTTCATTTTCGGTTTAAATAATTTGTTGCGCATGGATTGGGATTGCTATGTGTGTGTGTAGTATTAAGGTTCCAATACCTCCCAAAAGATTTTGATTGTCCGGCTCCCCTCACTGTAACCACCAGTGTATCGTGTATTATTTTTAAAATCATCGACGTCAATATCGTAATTGCCACCTGAAAGCAACTACATTCATGTGTATCTCAGAAATCTTGCAGTAAATAATGAACTCATCACAAATAAAATCTTCAGTATAAGTTATCACAAGTTGATTGTAGTGAATGAGTGAGCAACTGCATCTTGATTCAGATATTTTTCTCTTAAAAACCATGTCACTGATACAACATATAATTTTTGTAAATGTAAAATTGTCACAGAAATGCTTAGTCTTCGTACGTGCAAGAGAGAAGAATTATTAAACTCACAAAGAAAATCTTTTAAACATACTTAGTAAAGAAGATACCTGATTAAACTCACTTGCGTTGAATAATTTCAACCAGGATTGCGATATAAGATCAGTTAGCCCTCTATAAAATGCATTTGAAAAGGGAAATATCTGCAATTTGAACATTGTTACATATATACCCATGATACAACAGTCAATACAGTACAGAAGTGAGTAAGTTGCATTAGACTACAGTCAATGATGATAAAACCTGTTGGTTGAGTTTGTAGTCCGCCATCGCATGTATGTACTGCATCTTGTTTTCATTTGTCACAGAAATATCTTTGCCACCAGACTTGAGCTCAACCACATGCCTTTTGCCAAATGATTCTTCAGTAACTGTGAAGTCAAAAAAGAGCTCCTTGACATCACCATCATAATTCTGCATGAATGATTACTGTGAACCTTCCAGTGAAATGTTAAATTGCAAGAACAGACATACACAGTAACCACCCAAGTCAAACATGGGAAAAATAACTTGAAAAATGAGGCAAAGGCCAGTACTCGAGGAAAGAACAAATTTCAATTAAACAATCAAACCTAACATACAAATGCAAATTGGATCATGTTAATTAATTATTGAAATTTAAGATTTTCATGAATAATACTGAGTGTATAACATCCACCAACCATAACATTAGCTCTTGAAGGACGAACATTGTAGGTTGAGAAACAGCACCAAACCATATAAAATTTTAAAAACATGGATCCTACTAGCATAAAGCAACCTGATACATTGGGGATGGTCAGGGACGAATCTATGTTTTAGTATTCTGGGCAGCTGCCCACACAAGTCTATTATTGTGTGTTTTGTAATTATTGAATATTTATTTTTTCCCCGCACGTAAAATATTATCATGACTCCACTAAATGGAAACTAAGGTCATGACAGGAGTTTCTTTTTTTAAAATTTTGTGAAGAATCAAAGACAAAAGTGTATAAGAGATGAACTTTTGATGATTGTTTGGTCCCATGCACATAGATATATTTTTGATAGTGTTAAAAATGAAAAAAAAAAAATATTACAACACTTTCAAAATAAGAATACAAGTAAAGAGAAATTGTAATTTGTAGATGTGAAGGTGGGTTCGATTTTTTAGATATGCAACGGTATAGTATTTATAACATCCATTTTTTGCTTAATGTATCTTTTAAAATAAATATTTATTGTATAAAATCTTGCGCCCACCAATTGAAATTTTTGGATCTGTTGGTGTGGATCGTCATGATTAATTTTGACAAGATTTATAAGAGAAGCAATAACATGGATATATCTCTCGGGATTACCTTGACATACATAAGACTCCTGTATAGCTCTGGATCAAGTGTTGATAATTCATCAAGAAAGCTATATCGTCCTAAAAGCTTTTGTACAAACACATGCGAGAAAGAGTAATCAAGTAATATTCCTTCATAAAGAGCTTTACCAACTATTCTTCCAAGGAACTCAATCATCTGAAGACCATTGTCCAAAAATCTTGCAGAAGCAGTGGGAATTAGAAGGCTATCTGAAGTTGAGGTTTGGGAAAAAAGCCCGTATCTTCAGCAAAAAGAAAAAGTTTCAACTAAGAAAGTCACTCTCGGAAAAGGAAAAAACTATGAAATAAATGCAAGAAAATACAAAATAACATCTCAAACTTACTCAGGGGCAAATGCTTCTTTTGTTATGTCAGTCAAAAACTCTTTTGATAATCCACCATAGTCCAGACCAGCCTCCATAAGGCCACATTCACTGACAAATGAGACATGGATGGATGACTTCAACTTTGGCCCAAGTGAGTTTAATTGTTGAAATCCATCTTCAACAATATGACCCCGACGTACTACAATCTCAATGGCTCGTGAGCCAGGTTCAGAAATTTCACCAGCCATTTTGCGTGAGGCTTTATCCATCTTGATGAATTCACGAAACATCTCCACTCTATTTCAGCAGTAAACCAAGTGGTTAAGTACTTCCAATCAGAGACGGTCATATGTTATGTTGAAAACAAATGAGTATGACTTTGATTACGTATTGCAAACAAATATCTCTTCTCCTCTACTCTCACAATGAAAAAAAAAATTTCAATTACATTGAAGAACACTCTCATTGACAATCTTTCTCCCTTACAAAGTTTACTCTTGTTGCTTTGCTTCATTTAAGGTTTCTTAATGATCAACATATAGCACATAATGGATAAATAAATTAAACTACAACTCAAGTAATCAAATATATGAAATATCCACTATTTTACAAGATACATGATTAATAGTATTCCCCAAGTAATTCTCCATGACCAACATATAGCACATAATGGATAGATAAATTAAATTACCACTCAAGTAATCAAATATATGAAATATCCACTATTTTACAAGATACATGATTAATACTATTCCTACATGATAAATCAGTTCTCAATTTAACCCACAGACAGAAGCAAGAAAAGACACTATTTTTTAGAATTGTGGTTGAGCCTAACTCAACCATACAAAACCGGCTAATAAGGTAAGGATTTCTCCCACTTATAAATATATGTTCATGTCCGATGTGGGACTCTTTTACACACCCACCGTTGGAAATTCTGCTTTCATTGTGGTCCATCCCTAGTTGCCTAATTGCGGCATTTGGCTTGCCTTTATTGCGGGCTCCAACACCTACATTGTGTTGGATTTGAAGGGGTGGATTTTGTCACACATTGCTTGGAGATGTGACATGTGTAGTGTTTATATAGATTGGGCAGCCCTCACCTCACAAACCGGTTTTGTAGGAAAGAGTTAGGACACACTCTAAGATGGCATCAGAGAGCCTATCCTAGATCTGTTATTGGGCTTCCCGCATCCAGGGATGTCAATGGGGCAGGGTGGGGGCGGAGGATACATTCTCATCTCAATTCCCGCCCTTAAATTTACTCCCCATCTCTGTCTCGGATCCCCGCCACGGGGGATTTTGTCCCCCATCCCCGTCCCCACGGATCCCCACAATTTCCGCGGAGATCTATTAATATAAATTTTTATTTATTATTTTTAACTAAATTAATAGAAAAAATTCAAAAACTAACCACAAGAATTAATAAACTAATCTACGATAAATATATTGTTTTAACAATATTGTTGATATTTATAAATATATATAATGTTAAGAATATTTATATGTAGAATAGTCCCACATCGATTATATTGTGTAATTAGTTGTAATCTCTCTATATATAATAAAGTCTTCGTAGTATTTTTAAAACACACGGTTTAACCTAAATGTCTCTTAGTCTCTCCTAATTCAATATGGTATCTAGAGCCTTCTAAGAGCCAATTCTTCGCCGTGCTTTATCCGGTTGACCCACTGTCTTTCGGTGAGAAATTTTCTTCTGCAAAACGTGATCATTCTGGTTTGCCTCACCTTTTTTTTAATAATTTTTTTCAGCGACCTCCACCCCCGCACTGCCCACGGGAAAAGTTTTTTTTGGGGCTACTGTTCACTGCCGCTGTGACTGTTCATCGTCGCCGCTAATGTTCACGAAAATTTTTTTTTTACTGGAAATCGCCTTCCTCCTCCGGTTTCAGATCCGTCCTCGATTTCCGTTTTCGACTCACAGAAAGTCATACTCTTGTTCAAACAGCCCCAGTTGTTGTGTTTTAAGCCATGGGAGATGCTGACTCTGTCTCGTTTACTAAAGTTCTGTTTATCCCATGTGAAAAATTAACCGGATCAGCCAACTATAACATATGGGCTCGTGCTGTCGAGATGTGGTTTCACAGTCAAGGATATGAAGAGCATATAACCACCCAATTGAGTGACATTGCAGCCGTCAAACTCGCTAAATGGAAGAAAATTGATGCCTCTTTGTGTACTGTGTTGTGGTTTTCCATAGTACCTAACCTCCAAGCGCAGTACCAAGCATTCTCCACTTGTTATGAGGTGTGGCAAAAGGCCAAGAAAGTCTTTTCCAACGACGTTCATTCTCTATACAGTGTCATCCACAAATTCAACACACTGAAGTTGGAAAACATGGATGTGCAAGCTTATCTGAGTAAGCTTGATGCCTTGAAAGCAAGTTACACAACCCTCATGCCTTACGCAAAAGATGCAATAGCTCATGCCGAACAACAGAGTAAATATTTCATGGTCATGGCACTTAAAGGACTACCATCAGAACTCGAATACGTTCGTAACCAGATTTTATCAGGTACTACTGTTCCTAACTATGATACAGTTAGTGAACAATTGTTGCGCTTGTCTACACCTCATGCGTTTGGCCCGGTTTCTCCTTCATCTATTGTTATTCCAACACCAGGTGACACTGCTGCTCTTGCATCTCTTGGCAACAATCAGAATCGCCTTCGAGGAGGGTCATCCAACTCCAAACCTCGTCCTAAGTGTAACCATTGTAACCGAATTGGACATACTATCGATCGTTGCTGGAAGTTGCAAGGCAAACCTCCACGGCAGGTAAATGCAGCTCAAATTGATAACCCAGACACTATGCAGACTTTACCTTCTCTTCAGAATCCTACGCCAAGCTACGAGGATTTTCTCAGGTCGTGTCAGACTAACCAGATCTCTGGTTCCATGACTTCAATTGCTCACATTGGTAATCCATCTGTTTGCGTCTCTCAATCATCTCCTCTTGGTCCTTGGGTCCTCGACTCTGGTGCGTCTGATCATGTTACCGGTAATAAAAATCTTTTCTCTTCCCTTTCTATCTCAGGTTTCTTACCGAGCATAACTGCCGCAAATGGTTCTCAAACCCGATCCCAAGGGATCAATACTGTTCAAATTCTACCATCTCTCTGTTACTTATGTCCTATATGTACCTAATTGCCCATTTAATCTATTGTCAGTCATTTAACTCGTTTCCTTAATTGTTCTATCACTTTTACTAACAGTGATGTTATTCTGCAGGATCGAAGTTCGAGACAGACGATTGGCGTCGAATGTGAGTCTCAAAGCCTCTACTACTTCTCTACGTCATCTACCACATGCTCCACCACAAATTCTCCACTCATTATACATGCGCAGTTAGGTCATCCAAGTCTTCCCAAGCTACAAAAGTTGGTGCCCAATTTATCTAAATTATCCACTTTACAGTGTGAGTCTTGTCAATTAGGGAAACACACTCGCAGTCACTTTCTCGATCGAGTCAATAAACGAGTTATGTTCCCTTTTTCTTTAGTTCACTCTGATGTTTGGGGTCCATCGCGTACCGTATCTACTTTTGAGTCTAGGTATTTTGTAACATTTATTGATGATTTTTCACGTTGCACGTGGCTATTTTTAATGAAAAACAGATTTGAATTGTTTTCTATTTTTGAACAATTTTATCGAGAAATAAGAACCAAATTTGGTTTGTCCATTCGTACCTTAAGAAGTGACAATGCACGTGAATATTTATCCCAACAATTTCAATCTTTTATGTCATCCAATGGTATTCTGGACCAAACATCTTGCCCTCATACACCTCAACAAAACGGGGTAGCCGAACGCAAAAATCGACATCTCGTAGAAACCACTCGGACTCTACTTCTCCATGGTAATGTCCCTCTCAGACTTTGGGGGAATGTTGTGCTCAGGCTGTTATCTCATAAACCGCATGCCCTCATCTGTCCTTAATAATAAAATCCCTCATTCAATCCTGTTTCCAAACTCTCCTCTTCACGCAATTCCTCCTCGAGTCTTCGGGTCTACATGTTTTGTGCATAATCTCTCCCCTGATCTTGATAAACTATCAGCTCGATCATTAAAGTGTGTCTTTCTTGGTTATCATCGATCCCAAAAGGATTATCGTTGCTACTCACACACTTGCAACGATACCTGATATCGGCCGATGTTACCTTCTTCGAGTCTGTGCCATATTTTGCGTGCACCGAAATCACTCCGGAACCCCTTCAGGAAAGTACTCCCACACCTCTTCCGGAAGTCCCATTTCCCATTACCCCCCATCATTTTAGGGAACCTATCCCGCGAGAAATCCATACGGTTAACCCCCCAATTCTCGCCCACTTCAAACATAGCGTCGTAAACCAACGTCTGTCATACCTGTCCCTGAGGTTGTACATGTCCCTGAAGTCGTACCTGTCCCTGAGGTCATTGCAGACTCTCCTCCGACGCTATCGCCATCACCGGATTCGATCCTGCAACCTGAGTCTGATTTTCCAATTGTCCTTCACAAAGGTATACGTCAAACACGAAATCCTTCTCCATATTATATTGATTTATGTTATCATCGTCTTTCCCCTTTGCAGTATACTTGTTTGTCCTCTTTGTCTTCTGTTTCTATTCCTAAATCTCCAGGTGAAGCATTATCTCACCCTGAGTGGAGGCAAGCAATGATTGATGAAATGTGTGCTCTTCAAAGCAGTGGTACCTGGGAACTAGTTCCTCTACCCACTGGAAATTCTTTAGTAGGTTGTCGTTGGCTTTATACATTGAAGGTTGATCCAGATTGTAAGATTGATCGTTTTAAAACTCGTTTGGTAGCCAAGGGATATACTCAGATTTTTGGATTGGATTATAGTGTTACCTTCTCGCATGTAGCCAAGATGGCATCTGTTAGACTTCTTCTAGCCATTGCAGCCATTCGACATCGGTCTCTTCATCAACTTGACATCAAAAATACATTTTTACATGGTGATCTTGAAGAGGAAGTATATATGGAGCAACCACCTGGGTTTGTTGCTCAGGGAGAGTCATCGAATATAGGCTACACAAGTCTCTTTATGGTCTTAAGCAATCTCCGAGAGCTTGGTTTGGCAGATTCAACACTATAGTACAACAATTTGGTATGGTCCGTAGTGAAGCTGATCATTCTGTCTTTTATCGTCACTCAGTCCGAGGGTGTATTTATCTTATTGTGTATGTAGATGATATTGTCATAACTGATAGTGATGAGTCGGGAATACTCCAGATGAAACAACATCTTTCGAACCAATTTCAGACAAAGGATCTTGGTAAACTCCAATATTTCTTGGATATTGAGGTAGCCCAATCTAAAGATGGTTTGGTGATTTCTCAGCGGAAATATGCTATGGATATTTTGGAAGAAACAAGTTTGTTGAACGCTAAACCAGTTGATACTTCTATGGATCCAAGTGTCAAACTACTACCGAATCAGCGGGAGCCTCTATCAGACTCGGGAAGGTATAGGAGATTGGTTGGAAAGTTGAATTATCTCACAGTCACTCGTCCAGACATTTCTTTTGCAGTTAGTGTGGTAAGCCAGTTCTTAAATTCCCCTTGTCAGGAATACATGGATGTTGTTATCCGGATTCTAAGATACATCAAATGTGTTCCAAGAAAAGGTTTAGTGTATGAAGATAAAGGACATACTCAGATAGTTGGATACTCTGGTGCTGATTGGGCAGGATCACCAATTGATAGACGATCCACCTCTGGGTATTGTGTACTTGTTGGAGCAAATCTTATATCCTGAAAAAGTAAGAAACAAAATGTAGTTGCAAGATCAAGCGCCGAGGCAGAGTATAGGGTCATGGCAATGGCAACATGTGGACTCATTTTAGTTAAAACAGTTGCTCAAAGAACTTAAAATTGAAGAAGCAAGACCAATGACACTTATATGTGATAATCAAACTGCATTGCACATTGCTTCAAATCCAATCTTCCATGAGAGGACCAAACATATTGAGATAGACTGTCACTTTGTCTGAGAGAAGATTGAATCTGACGACATCGTCACAAGCTTTGTCAACTCTAATGATCAATTGACAAATTTGTTTACAAAATCTCTGCGAAGCCCCAGAACTAATTATATATGTGGCAAGCTTGGTGCATTTGACTTATATGCTCCAGCTTGAGGGGGAGTGTTGATATTTGTAAATATATATAGTGTTAAGAATATTTGTATGTAGAATAGTCCCACATCGATCATATCGTGTAATTAGTTGTAATCTCTTTATATATAATAAAGTCTCCGTAGTGCTTTCAAAACACGGTTTAACTTAAATGTCTCTTAGTCTCTCCTAATTCAATAAATATTTAATCTTGAGATTCATGAACACCAAATTTTCAAACTTAAAAAAAAATTAAAATAATCATTTAGATATCTCTCTCTTACTAACATTACATATGTGTTTTACATTTGTTTATAAAATAAGTTATTTGAAATGACAAATACACCTACATAGAAATGTTAAATTATATATTAATTAACGACATTATGGTATTTTAGTGCGGGACTGTGACTCAACGAGGCGGGGGATATGTTCATCATCCCCATCCCCAATGTGCCTTCGGGAGAACTTTATTCCCCATCCCTATCCCCGCGGGGGGAAAATTCCCCATATTTGGGACTCCAAATGGGAAATCCCCGCGGAGATCCCCACTAATAGGTGCAAGTTGACATCCCTACCTGCATATTCCACGCTTCAGGCTCATTGAGGCCCGAGAGTGAGGGGGTGTGCTGGAAATTCTGTCTTCATTGTGGTCCACCCCTAGTCACCTAATTGCGGCATTTCCAAATACTAGACATCTAGAGTGTGGATATAAATGGTGGATAACGTGATAGCAGAAAGTAGAGAGCAGGTGGGTCCAACGGATCTTAATTCTTGAATCTGGCTCGAATAACATTTTAGAACTGTGGACAGAGTTATTAATCCCGGATAGCGGAGCGGAGCAGCCGACCTCCAAAAGTGAAAATAGTTGGAATAGTGGAATCCCGAATAGCGGGATAACTTTTTGTATACTAATAATTATATAATAATCTATAAAACCATATGTCATGTAATACTAAACTAACTTCACAATACTCATAAAATATTTATAAAATCTAATGTCAAGTAAAGAACAATGTTTAATCAAGATTCAAAACATAAAGATTCAAATTCCAACTTAGTACTATTATATGAAAATTCAAGCAAACATAGAAATCATGTAGCATCATCAAAATATTTCTCAAATTCTTCATCTTCTTCATATTCCTCCAATTCTTCATCTTCAACTTCTTCAAAATAGAAAGAAACGGTGTTTACAACAAAACAAAATAGAAGAAGTAGAAAGTAGAAAGAAATAGTAGAAAGAAAAGAAGTAGAATAAGTTGAAGTAGAATAAATTGAAGAATTAGAAGAAATTACCTGAGATGGCAGAAGGAGAGTTGCAGGGAGATGGCGGCAGAATCGTAGAAGGAGAGTTGAGGAATTAGGGCACGATAGAACCCAGCGAATGAGGGAGAAAGAAAACAAAAATTGTTTAAAAACTATTTTAAAACAGGGGCATTTAAGTATTTGGCTCAGAAAATTGTTTAAAAAAAAAAAAAGAGAACCAGAGTCGCTCTGCCCGGGAATTTCCCGCGACCCGGTAACGCGGCTGAAGCGGCCGCTTTTCCATCTCTGCCACCGCACCCTGCATATCGCGCGGGGGGTGTCACACCGCTACAATGCGCCGCGATAGCGGCTGGAGCGCCCGTTATTGACAACTCTGACTGTGGTTAAGCCTAACCCAGCCTTACGAAACCGGTATGTAAAGTGAGAACTACCCCTACTTATAAACATATGTTCAAGCCCTATAATGTCTGATGTGGGACTCTTTAACAGTATTACACGGTGAAGATACTCGTTAAAAGTTTTGCTAAAATAGGAAACTTACACAACCAAAAAAAAAACTAAGATTAAGTTCTATTTCTAACTCTTGTGGTCAGTATCTCTTTTTCCCTAAGTTTTATCGTTCTAATCTAAAGGTCCAGTTGATGAGATAATGGAAATGTCAAAAGGATAGAAAGTACAGTAAGCAGAATTGAATAAAATAGAATTTATGACAAGCAAGAGGCCTCATAACGGTCACAGTCAAAGAGCTAGTAGTTACCCCCATCTCATAAAAAGTGTCTCATTTGCACTTTTTCTGAGTCTCAAAATAATTGTCCATTTACAATTCCAATGCATCATTTATTATTATTTTTCCATTACTATATCCCTATTCATTAACTATCACTTTATTCAACAACTCTATTAACTACAATTAATAGGGGTAATCTAGTAAATGGTATTTTTCACTAAAACCAACACATCTAATCATTTTCTTAAGAACCGCGCATTACTAAAATATGACACTTTTTATGAGACGGAGGGAGTACCTTTCTTCAAATGGGAAAACATGGGGAGTCACAGTGATAACAGAGCCTAGACTCGGAGAAGATGATGAATCATCAGATCTCAGGTTGGCTGAAATAATTTCATGAGTTCTAGCAGCAACTGCAACTGGTGGTCGACTTTTTCTAGCAGGAGAAAGCCACAAATCAGGAGGACAAAATGGATGTCTGCAATCCCTTTCATACATTAAATGTAAGCATCGGACAGCACAATCCATGAGGGGCCTATTACGATGACCACTAACATGAGACAGGCCATTATAGACTAGGGTATTAAGCATTGATGCAATTCTCCGTTGCTGCTCTAACTTGAATGGAACCTAACAATGTTATCAAATTCTCTAGAAAGTTAGTTTCTGAAAATGTGAACTTATTCATAAAAGGACTGGGACAATAAGAAACTAAGCTGCTACCTGTTTCTCATAAAACTCTATGTCATCAAGAACTAAAAGCAGGTGAGAATAGGTTGCACAGAAAAGATGAAGCACCGCAAACATACTTTTTGGAATGCCTTGTGGGCCCTGCCTCATAGGTTCTATGTCCCATACATCTGATGGTTCTAAATTCACTTTGCTAGGTGCAGAGTGACTGTCAATGGGATCTGTGCAGTCTGTTGCGGTTTGTGACTTACCTGTAAATTTATGAAGTACGCTGACCCACTTACTGGCCCCATCTTTACTTGCCTGTTTTGGAATCTTCTCAAAAGCTTTATGGTTTCCATTTTCACTTAAGTGATTATCCGACATATGATTGTCTTCAGAGAAAAAGGAATCCTCAAGTTCACTCCACAATCTCACAAGAAATCCAGGAGTAAATGATAGCATGTTAAGAACTGGTAAAGATCCACGAATTGGACTGAAGGCTGAAAATACTCTAAGTAAGTTAGAATAAAAAAGTGCAATGTCACACAGATCTAGCTTCCCCAAACATTCCAGACTGTTTGAGATCGAAGTCTCAGCCTTGTTGGTGGCATCTCTATTCACTGATGCCAAAAGATTTGTGAGATGCCATTGCTGACAGACAGGCCTAAATTGATCCATGTATGGCATTATTAACGACTCGTGGGTTGAACTTTCGGCATCAGTTTGAAGAGATTTCTTCTTTTTGAGCCATTCAATATTATCAAGACATGCGAGTAGGCTTTCTGTTAGAGTGACAATAACATGGACGTACAATGCACAGTCTAGACCTTGATTGAAGGATCCGGAGTCTACATAATTGTTTTCCTTCCCTGTTGCTAGACATATAAAGTTAGCAAGAGACCAACCAACTGGCGGAATATCCTTGAAAGAAACGAGAACTTCTGAGTTAACCAACTCTGACATCTCCATTAAAACATCCTCTTTCAAAATCTGTCATCACCTGTCAGATTTTGATCAGTTCTGATATGTTTGAATCATAAGGCATAATCTATGAAGTTATACAAATCAATGATCTTATTGACTCTAGAGACAGAAATGATGGCAGCATCTTAATACTTCAGAGAGAGACTTCCCTTTGCAACAAAAAATAAAAGAATGAATGAAATTTCACCTTTGAGTCATTGTTTTATATCTTTTACAAATAGAGTAAATAAGCAAAGAACCATTATATATTCAAATTAAACAACCTTGAGTTTTTCAGTTTAAACAAAGTTCCATCTCTGATGTATAAAACTTAAAACTACAATATCCAACAAATTACATAAGAATATAGAAGTTAAATGTACATGCACAATTATGACATATCAACTCAGAAAGTCAAAAGTTGGAATTAATTATACACAAACATATGGGTTACATTTGCATGATCCATCAGTGACATCAAAATATAAGAATGGAAATTTTCATAATGAAAAAAAAAAACTATAAAAGAGAACAAATTCTCATAAAATAAAAGAGACAGTTATTAATTTTGCACATGAAACTCTAAATATGCTTACCAATAGTGCCTGAAAACACGTGAACATAATCGATTTGTGTTTTAAAGCAGGCAGAAGAACAGGTGGGATATGTTGCACTAGCCAAGGAATAGACATTAGATATAAAATATACTGCTTAGCAGCATGGTTGCCATTCAGCATACAAGGCCTTTCTCCATCAAAGTTTGTCAGTGAAAAGGGCCGCACAGCTAAAGTTATTGCACTTGCAGTAATAAAAAACTTCTCATCAGCCTGGGTGACAACTTTCATCTGGGAAGAGTGTTTATCCAATGCACTAATATATCTGGCAATAGAAACATAACTGCCACTTTTACTACTCCCTATGAACTCAACTAAACCTTTCACGGCTAAATCTGCATCTAAGCAGTTGTCATCTGTAATGCCTTTCCATCCTTTTAGATCAGTTAACATTACAAGAATACGCATTGCTAGAGATGTAACAACAGTAATATCTTGAGCCCCTGAATTGCATTCACTATACTCTGAAAGAACCGAAAACCCAAGAGAAATAAGTCGCTGTGCCTGGTAACACCAAATTATTCTCTCTTCAGAAGTACCAATCGCCAAAAAGCAATAGTTCAGCTTTGAATCTATACAAAGAAAGGAATAGATCCATTAAACATATATTAAGTATGTGTGTTAGTGTTAACAAGAAAAGGGAAAATAGGTCTATCGAATTTTAAAAGCTACGGAAAAACAAAGCAACAGAAAGTATCTTCCATTCATAATTTCATATAAGATGTAGGCATGCCATCACATCAAAATGAGCAGCATAATTGGAACGCTAACTTGAAGCCTAATAAGAGAAAATAAAAACGAGGGAATATATACCAGAAGAATTCAGGCTTTCCAATAAGATTGTAAAGCAGATCCTCATAGAGTCTGTTTTCTTGCTATGAACCTTTCGATACCAATTTGAGAACCGAGTCACAAAGAACAGAAATGGCCTCAACAAGTTGTTTGAAATCCAATTTGCAGTCATCACCCCATTATAATTATTCACCGACATCTCCCACTCCTGCTGAAGCTGCAGAGCAACCATTTTTGTAACCTTGAAGCGCCTCCATACTCTCTTTCAAAATTAAGAAAAAGTTGTCATTTCGCTAGTTTGATACAAACATGAGGTCCGAATGAAGACCAATACAAGATCAGAAGAATCATGCAAAAATGTTTTTAACTTATGCGATAAACTATTATTTATAAGACTCTTAGTCAGGCAGATCGCGGAAAATAGAGGATCACCAAAAAACCGACATGGGAAATATCGAATAGCGTAGCGGGCACAGCAGAAGCAGCAAACAATTAAAATAAACAATTATATATAAAATAAAACATGCTACACACAAACAAAAGTTACATAAATAGATATTAAAATATTGGCTTGACATTAAACTGAAAATCTCAAGTTCAAACAACTAAACAATGCTGCAGAAAGCTAAAAACAAAAATTAAAAATGACTTAAAATTCAAAAATTAAGAATCGTTCAAACTTAAAAACAACTACTACCTCCGTCCCTAAATATAAGATCCCGTAGACCAAATTACGCTAATTAAGAAAATTGGTTAAAGTATTAAATTTATTGACTATTTGTACAATTTTACAAGTATATCCTTAGAAGAGAGAAATAATTAATGTTTATATAAATGTATTTATTACACATTGCAGAAAAAGATGTAATATAATTAGGGGTATGTTTGAAAAAAATAATTAATGCATTTTGAAAGTTGAAGAGGGTCTTGTAAAAAGGGACAAAAAAAAAAAAACGCAAGAGAGTCTTATAAAAAGGGACAAAAAAAAACTCAAGAGGATCTTATAAAAAGAGACAAGAAAAAAACTCAAGAGGGTCTTATAATTAGAGATAATAATTAAAAAATCTTCTAAGTCTAACTAGTGATAAAAGATGAAGGAAGGGCAACAAAGTGAAGGAGAAGAGTAAACAAACACGTAAGTGAAGGTAATCAAGGCACAAGAGATATGAGAGTTGTGTTTGTTTACGTAGGTAATGGGTACTCCACCACTTCAAATTTTATTTTTAATATTGGTCCACCGCTAAAAAAGTTTTCAACATTAACTAATTCTGTTATCAATACATAGCGGCTATATCGGTATACCAGAAAAAGAGCCGCTATTTTGAGCATAGCGGAGTTGAAATGCAATATCCGCTTTTGTATTAGATATCCAAAATTCCGATACACAATATTGGTATACCGCCGCTAACCGGATATTTAACAACGTTTCTCAGTCGGTACAAAATCATTTCAACTTTCTATTTCTAATAACTACAGGTTCAATAATTTATCCAAACCAGGTCTCAATTAAAAAAACTAAAATAAAACTTCACCGTGTCTCAACTCAAGGAACAACAATCAAGCCCTATCTCACTAAATACTAGAAGGATCAACTTTTGCCATGATGTTCTATCCAATCCAAATAATGTTCTATCCAATCCAAATCGTTAATCTCAAGTTCTTTCTTAATAACTTCTTTTATAGTTTTTCTATGTCTGTTTGACTTCTCTCCATATAATTTATTCTTCTTACCACAAAATCTACCGATCTTCTCTCTACAAGCCCAAACCACTTAAGTATATTTTTCACTAATTATTTTACTACCAATTTTTTTACTGTAGGTGTTATACCCTAATAATCTTTCTAATATTATTATTTCTAATTTTATCCGGTCTAGTCTTATCACAATTCAATCTCGACTTCACATTGAATGTCAGTATAAAACTACTAACTAGTTCATCGCAACATTGCCCATCCCTTGTTGTCCCTTCTTTTCCAGTTAAAAAGTCCTATCCAGGGTTTTAAAAAACGGCCGCGACAGTGAAAACGGTTGTGACAAAACGGCATCAGCAAATACCGATACCGACACCGTTTTTATATTTCAGAACAAATTTTGCACGACACCTGTACCGACCAAAATCGCCACAGCACCTATACCGACCAAAATCGCGAAAGCACCTATACCGACCAAAATCGCGAAAGCCTTTACGTGACTGTGACCATTTTATAAAACATTGGTCCTATCTAATCTATAATTCTTAGCATGCAATCAAGGAACCATCAAGTTAAATCTTGAAATTTCTATACGAATCAAAAAAAAAAAGGCAAAGATATCGAACCTGAACGAAGAGAGCAGCAGCAGCAGCACGTTTTGCATAATTCCGAAGCTCTCTTTCCCGCGAAACCTTCTGGAGAAGATCATCTCGCGTAATCTCCTTCGCACTCGCTCCTCGCAACGATACCTGAACAAAAATACCAGTAATCTATAATAATTCAACGGTTTTTTCACACAAAATTAAACAAGATTTAGGTATAATTAACAAGAGAACCTGGTGTTTACGAGGTGCGTCCATGGAAAATCAGGATCAGAGGTAAGGTTCGATGCTGAAAACCATTAACAATACTTGTTGAATTGATCACTCTTTTGTAATCTCCGTTGATTTCTTCTGCAGATTTACTTTATCTCGAACCCAAATTTCTACTCTGTTAACCGCAACTGAATTTGATTTATTTAGAAGAAAGAACGAACAAGAAAGAGAAAAGAAAAGTTAGTTTTATTTTTCATTTTTCTTTTCTAAGTTGACATTTCGATTTTTCAAAATTATCTATAACAAAAGCTATTATTGACAATTTTAGAATTTTTTTCAACAATCAAGTATTAAAAAGAAAAAAATACAAATAACCAATTTCATGCTTTAGCAAATGTTAACATACATTAGTCAAGTGAGATGGTATTTGCATTGATTTTTTTAAAGGTTATGTTAAATGATATGACGTTTAAGTGCATGTGATTGTTCTATAAGCCATTTGAGATGGCGCCTAGGTGTAAAGTGTATTTTTTTTAAAAAATTTGTTAAAAGAAATAAAAGACATTTTGTTGTAAATGAAAGTTCAATTTTCAATAATAATTAAACGATTACATAATGAGAATAAAAGTTACATATTATTTAGTTGTCTCTCGGGACTCGATAACGACTTGTGGTTTCGCACTTGCTTTATTGCCTAACTCGTGGTGTGTTTCGACGATTTTCTTGTTGCGGTTGAGTGGGGGGCATGCGAAGTTAATGCGTTCAAGATCCATGAAATTCGTCATATCAGCATATCTAGAAGATTCACTTTCAAACAGTCGGTTATCCATAGGGGTGTTCGCGGGCCGATTTGGTTCAGTTTTGAGAGAATCTAATACCCAAACCAATTAAAATTATATAGATTGTTTTGGATTGGATTTGAAATTTTTTGTGATAAAGCTCAAACCGAACCGAACCGAGAAACAACGGGTTGGTTTGGGTTGGATTGGTCAGATAGATAAAAAATACAAAAATATTTGGAAAAAATAACTTATTTACATAAATTAATTTTTCATAATAAATATAAAAATATAGTATTAATAGTGTTTAATCGTAAATATTAGACTAATAATTTTTCCCTAGTAGATTCTAAAATATTTAACAAGAAAAATATATAACATCAAGGCTTTTGAATCTATACGTAGTCACTTGAGCTAGTATGATAATGAATGTGTTTCATATCTCCACGCCCATTTACCACAATACACTAACAATTTTCTAATAACAAATTAAAATAGAATAACTTGTCCAGATATGACATTTCACTTTTTTCTTCTTGAACTTGAATGATTGGTAGTAATTTTCATGATAATGAATTATAATTGGTTTAGGTTGAGTTTGTAGATATAAAATTGAAAATCTGATGCCCGAACCAATTGTCATCGGATTTCATTGGTTTGGTTAGGTTCTTGCTCAAACTGAAAAAATATCCAACCCAAACATTATGGTTTGGTTCGGATTTATCCGAACCAATGAACACCTCTAGTTACCCATACCCTCAAAGTTTGGTCGTATTGGTGGGAGTGGGGTTCCATGGGTGGTCGATAGCACTGGTCGTATGAATAAGGGGGGTAAAAAGGAAATAAATCTTACGGAGTTTGGTAATGTGATTGTTGGGTGCTATGGTGATGTGATGGTTGATCGTAAGTTGAGTTGGTTGGGGAATATTCTTCAGGTATGCCAAGGTTTGGGCCAAGGTGACATGATGAGGGGTCCACATCGGGTTGACGAATGTATGGTTGGTGTTCTTGGTACTGTGATTAGGTGTGGGGCATATGAGTGTATTGGTATTGAGGTTGTGATTGGAGTTTGATGTTTGTGGATTTGTATCATCGTGGTGTTTGATGGGAGGTTGATGTGTGTTGAGTTTGTTGTTGGGGTTGTTGTTGGATGGTGTATGATTGTTGGTAGTGTTGTTGGGGATTTGAGGGTTGTGCCCATTATGTGCGTGGATCGATCAAATACCTCGGGTGAGGCACAAACATTTTAGGGTTAATAACTGATTTGTACCAATCAGTATATTGATTTGTGTGTCGCATATTATTCTGGATGAGGAAAACAAGAAATTGTAAGACATGTCGGCCACGCCTATTCCATATCTTATACCATTCCAGAGCGAAATCTTTCCAACTATTAACATCCTATTCAGCGTCGACCCTTTTGAGATGTCAAGGTGATAAACAAGTTGGATCGGCTGGTATTTCTTAATGCATTCTGAACTGTATCTTGACAAGGTCGCCGTGGTGCATCTCTATAACGTTGAACCATATGATTGTAGTTTTTGCAGGCCAACCTGCTACATTCTTGAGGTTGGATTCATGGTCCAAAGTCCAAACCCAAATATGGTCTCTAGATAAACTGTGGATAAAATTAAATCAGAATAATGATAAATTTAAAAATAAATAAGTTAAAAGAAGAGAAGTTTAGAGGTATTATGTACATCGTCCGGGCCAAGGTGATCCAAAAGATTATGATATAGAGCGACGTTTTGTCTTGGATTCTTGATGTAATTCATACCTCTTACACAATACCTAAAGGAATGAAAAAAATAATTAATTATGTACATCTATTTAGCAAAGAGAGAGATGATAAATTATTTACGCTATAGATTTACTTTGTTGCACAAGGGAACATGAACGGATGGTCGTTGATAGGGTTAGGGGGGTCCATTCTCCACCAACCCCTGCTTGGAACAAGAAAAGCGCTTCCATTAAGAGTACATTTGTCGTTTGTTGCATTTTTACATAATGAAATGTATAGATAGGCTAAAACAGCAGAACCCTAACTATATTTTTTTATTTTATCAAAGTCTCTAAGAAAACTTAGATACATAAAATTGACATTATTACATGTACTTTCAGGGAATAACAGGCTTCCAAATAGTATTATAATATATTTTCTAGCTTTAATTATTTTTTCTTCCTCAGATGAATTTTCATTCAACCCAAGAGTCCCATAATGTGATTTAAGTTCGGTTAATAAAATACCTTGGCCCCTAACAACAGTTCCATCCACCATATATTTGCCCAACATTTTCTTGCATAAAGAATTGGGTTGTTGAATCGGCTCATTCACCACATTACCAACAATAGGGAGATACATTAACATGTACATGTTCTCTAGTGTGACTGTACGTTCACCTACTGGTAAATGAAAGGTGTGTGTCTCGGGTCTCCGCCTTTCCAATGTTAGATGATGAGATGGATCTAGAAGGGGGATTGAGTAGATATTTATTTAAAAATTGCACTTTTAAAATTTGTTTAGAAATGATGCGAAAGCATCCTGAATCAAAATCGTCTAAATGATCTATTATTGAAAAGATCGGATATGCAAAACCGAATGGAATTCTTATGATGAGAAATGAATCAATACTATTACTTACTAATCAATAACTTAAACAATATCAATGAGTACATACTACTTCCAATGAGTTGTTTAAGATAAAACTTGACAAAATCACTAATTTGTGTGTTAATCAATTTATCAAACACTTGGTGTGCAAAAATACAACAAGTTCAATTTTACTTAATTGTAGTGATGAATTTTCCTTGATAATAATCAAACTGATTGCTATGATTATTGTAAACTAATTTTGAATCACTACAATCACGGTAAAATGAATTGAACAATCAATATCACATAAATTATAACAAACGAAAATAAAAGGATAGGAAAAGAGAAACAACACACGAATTGTTAAGGCAATTCCCCTTGTCGTCCTCACGTAGGGTATGTCTGCCTCCAATTCTAAAATCTAGAATTGAGATATATGATATTAAGTCGCAAAGTGTTACAAGAGAAGATATAGTCTTTACTATATACAAACCAATTGTTGATGATGAAACTATTCCCTTCTCTCCCCTTGGTTCAAACCAAACAAAGTATGCCAGTCTCTTTTAATAAACCTCCGATTACCGTTACTTGATTGAATGAACTCTTCGTTTACAAATATTTCACTTGGCTGATTTCGATCTCAAGAAATTTGACCCTAAATCTTTCTTCACAATCCTCCGGTTACCACTACTTAATTGAGCAAACCCATCGTTTCTCAACCCTTTCACTCAGCTGAATTCAATGAAGCAAAGACTTGTGCAAAAACCCCCACACTAAACGGAACCTTGGAGGATAAAACCCTAACGGTTTTATTCAAGAAAAAACCCACTCAATTTTCAACCCAAATCTGAAATCAATCTTCAATTTGAATGTTATCACCACAACTCTGCACTTTAATCAACAAAAATTGTTATGTGTAATTGTTGATGAATGCAAGGAGAGGAGGAAGATGATGAGAAGTTGTATGTACATCTTTCACTTTTTCTTGTTAACCTTCAATGATGAATGCCAATTGATATTTATATGTTACCAAATAGTCAAGACCAAAAATATAGCAGAAAATAGAGTGAAAGAAGCGGGTGGTCAACTCATGCAGAAGACCTACTCAACGCAAGCACTCCCAAGAATTGTAGGAAGACCTTTGAGGAAGCAGTGAATCGACCGCAACAGGACATGAGTCGACGCAAACAAAAATAATTTTTCTCCTAGCGTGAGACGACCTGAAGGGTCGACGCGAGCAGACCTGAGCATGATGAATTGATCTTCTTCGATTCATGAGTCGACCTAACTTTAGCTTGAGTCGACGTAAATAGTGAAAAAATTTCTTCCCAATGTGAGTTGACCAGAAGAGTCGATGCAAGTAGACCCAAGCTTGATGCGATGACTTCTTCAATCCATGAGTCGACCTATTATTTTTGCATGAGTCGACAAAAATAGTAAAAACACCCAAAAAAGCTTATTCTCAAGGATTTTCATGCCAACCATTCTACTAGCAAGTTTGTCCATAAAGCCAACCCAAATCAAGAGCATGTTCATGTTTTGACATCATTAAAACAAGGGTAGAGGAACTTTATCCTCATAAGCTCCCCCTTTTTATGATGGCAAAACCTAAGAAAATTTTCTGTTCAATTCATCGAGGGCCTTAATCGAATATCTTCCCCCTGAATTTGTGC